TCATATCTGACAGAATGTGAACACTAAACATGTTAATGCAGTAAAGTTTTTATAAAATTAAGCTCTAATAAGTGTCTCATTTTGACCCGAACATAACGAAAGAATGTTTACCATCACATTAAATGTCTAAACTCTCAGCATCAGATGTTTGTATGTTCACAATATGCGCTCACAATCCATGATGATGTGTCACAAACTGTTTCTCTTCCAGAGTAAATGAACACCTCACCTTTTTTAGAATTTTAAAATGGCTTATAATCAATTATAATAATATTTACATTATCATTTTTGGTCTAAATATAAATCTCAGGCTATTTTCAGGTGTAAAAATCCAAAAGAAAGGAAAAAAGCTTGCTGTGTGGTGGTTATTGTCAGTATGTCTTCACTGTATACAGTTATGTTTGTGCATTCAGTGTGTTTTAAACAGTTTATACCAACATAACCAAACCTATTCGGTTTGTAGTGAGATGTGAGATGGAGTTGAATTGTGTGGTGGATAAACAGCTGCAGTAAACGAGTGTTTCCTCAGCAGGGGTCAGTCTGAAGTTTCCTCATCCAGAATGCAGGTTTGAGTGTCCACTCAGCAGCTGTTGTGGACGTGCAGTGGATCTTTAGTGGATTTTTCTTCTTCTGGTTATGTAAGACGCCTGGCTGATGAATATTGAATAGCTGGGGGATGTTGAAGATGCTGTAGGTTCTCCCGCTGACTATGGAGGGGGTGATGTAGAGTTTGAACCTCTGGAGGGGTCTCTATATTTAGCCCTTGCACAGTTTGACCTCTGTAGCTGACATTCTGTCTCTGAGCAGCAGGAAACATTTCAGTGAAATATATTGTGGCAGCAGCGGTGGTCCACTCAGCCGTCCTCCACACCTCCGCCTCTCACAGCACCGGCGACAGCGGCTAGGCTGCTGCTCGTGAGCGCTCGGGCCCTGACTCTCTGCCGCTAGCTGCATTTTCCACAACTAGCTTCCATTTCCTTGGCGGCCTGGGCTCAAAGCATGGATGAGTGTGGTGTCCCCTCTTCCTTCAGCGCTGGCACAGTGGTCGCTCGGTTGCCAGCACAGCACTTATGTTCCCCCTTGAGCTCCTCCACTGTGCAACACTGTGCTGCTCACCGCGGCGAGCCTACTTCACTGGATTCCCCACCACCAAGCCTCGTCTCGCCATGCTTTTCCCTTCTGGGTCATTCACCGGGCCATGTCTTCTTCGCCATCTGCCTTGAAGTTCTTTGCAGCTCTGTTCCGCTCCCTGCTACAGAAGGTGCACTATCCCACTTCTGACACCACTGTGACGTTGGTGTAGAATACAGACAATATTGCACTTTAAAGGCGAATGCATGTTTATTGAACAGGAAGCAAGAAATGTCCAGCCCAGTGCTAGGCTAGCAGGCTGGTCACTTCCAGCCAAACACAATCTTTTTGTGGTACCTTTATACACTGGGACCTCAGTGCTTCCCGGGAGCCTCTTTGCATGATCACACCTCCCAAGTTTGCATGGCAGCACAGCCTGTGGCAGATGCCACAATATTAATGTGTTTGTACTGACGGTAATAAAGTGGAGATGAACATTTCAACCACGTTTGATATTCACATTTCTAAAGCATTTGAAAAATATGTTATTGCATTATTGTTATGTATTATATTATTGATTTAGGAACAAGTATTCAGGAACTCTCTTTAAAACACTGAGTGTACAAATCTTCGTAAAATGTAAAATGCCCTGGCCAGTTCTATTAAAAGGGCTCCTTAAAACGTTAACGTGTGTATATTATGCAGAAAAATAAAGTGGACATTTGGTGCATGTTAATGATAATATAATAAAAAGTTAAAACATCCATGACACAAGTAAGTATTTCTTGTTTTATCTTAGATTAACCTGTTATCAGAGCACCTTTAGAGCCACCCGTGTTTATTCATAAAAACATTTATTATTTCTCTCATTGGAATTACGATACTGACAAAACTTCACACAGTGTGACTGATGACTGTGTGTGTGTGTTTAATTTTGTGGTGTACAGAATTATACAGCTGCATGTGTCTAACTGGGGGGCTAATATGTGCAATATATGGTCAAAAGTATGTGGACACGTGGCCATCACACCTATATGAGCTTGTTGGACATCCCATTCCAAAATCATAGGCATTTATATGGAGTTGCCCCCCTTTTAACAGCCTCCACTCTTTTTCGGAAGCTTTCTACAAGATAGTGAGAGTGAGAGGGTCTGGCTCACAATCTCCGTTCTAGTTCATCCCAAAGGTGTTCCGTGGGGTTGAGGTCAGGGCTCTGTGCAGGCCACTGGAGTTCCTCCACACCAAACTCATTAAACCATGACTTTATGAGCTGCTTTGTGCACAGGGGCTCAGTCATGCTGGAACAGGAAAGGCTCTTCCCCAAACTGGAAGCAGATATTTGTATTATCATCACCCTTCACTGGAACTGAGGGGCCCAAACCCTGATAAACAGCCCCGCCCATCATCCCTCCTCCACCAAACTGTACTGTTGGCTCTGCAGTCCGGTAGGTAACGTTCTCCTGGCATCCACCAAACCCAGATTCATCATCAGACTGACAGATAGAGAAGCTGCTTCATCACTCCAGAGAACACGGTTCCACTGCTCCAGAGTCCAGTGGCGGCGCTTCACACCACTCCAGCCGACGCTTGGCATTGAACATAGTGATCTTAGGCTTGTGTGCAGCTGCTCAGACATGGAGACCCATTTCATGAAGCTCCCGACACACCATTGTTGTGCTATTGTTGCTTCCAGAGGCAGTTTGGAGCTCTATAGTGAGCAGTTTTCCAGAGAGTAGAGCATTATGTGCTTTGCACCTTTTGCAGTTTAGCACTCACAGTTGTCTGGGGCAGATCTAGCAGGGCAGAACTTTCACAAACTGACTTGTAGCAGAGGGGGCATCCTATAACAGAGCCATGTTTAAAGTCACTGAGCTCTTCAGTTCGACCCTCTACTGCCAGTGTTTGTCTATGGAGACTGCAAGGCTGTGTACTTGATTTTATGCACCTGTCAGCAATGGGTGTGGCTGAAACACCTAAACTCAATAATTAGGAGGATTGTCCACATACTTTTGGCCATATAGTGTATATCAGTGTTTACACCCACCAGTGGTGTGTCTGATTGATTTGGCCGTGGCCTTCATTCTCCAGCTGAGATCTCACACGCACTGACCAGCTTTGATCTCACGCTCTGAACGCTCAGTGCGTCCTTGTGGCCTTTCAAAAATACACTCGAACAGCTCTGTTTCTATGGCGATGAATCATCGTCCTCTCAGTTCTTCAGCGAGTGAAGCTGCGGTGGAGCTTCAGAGCTCCTCTGGGCGAGTATATTTAGAACAGGCTGACGTCCTGAAGAAGCTGTGTGTGAGACGGTGATGAGGGTGTGAAGCTGAGCTCAGATGAGTCTCTGACAGACTGCACTGCTGATGCTCTGCTGATTTTCCTCTGATTGGTCCAAACAGGCAGGGCAGCTCACGAGATGAAGCCAAGAAAAGAGTGTGTTGAACAGACATAGTAATCTCTGACCTCATAACGATTCAGAGATGACAGGGGGTCCAAATCTTTTATAAACTGTGGCCCTCACAACTGACCACAAAAGCTTCTGCAGCCCATGAGAATATTTACCCAACCCAATCAAATGCAAGCTAATATAACACAAAATTTGGTGTCGCTTATTGGATATTTCATCACTGTGCAAAGAAAAACAGTAATAACTTTCATAGAAGGCAAAAACACCCATAAAGACATTTTATTCCAAGTGATTTTCGAGCATTTCTATTGGTTCATTCATCAGGAGATTTTGACACAACGTGTATGACAGCTGGTGTGTTGATATGGAAAAATAAAAATTGACAAAAATGGAGATGCATGGTGGGCGGCACGGTGGCGCAGTGGGTAGCGCTGTCGCCTCACACTGGGTTCGATTCCCGGCTGCGTGACCAGGGTCATTTCTGTGTGGAGTTTGCCCACAGTCCAAAAACATGCAGTCAGGCTGATTGGACATGCTAAATTGCCCCTAGGTGTGTGTGTGTGAATGTGTGTGTATGTCTGTCTGCCCTGCGATGGACTGGCGACCTGTCCAGGGTGTGTCCTGCCTTCCGCCCAATGACAGCTGGGATAGGCTCCAGCACCCCACCGCGACCCAGAAGGATAAGCGGTTTAGATGATGGATGGATGGATGGAGATGCATGGTTTTCTGTGGAAAGCAACGATTTGCTAGATTGTATTTTTACTGCAAATAAACACCATCAAATATCCTAAAGTGTCCGGTTTGTAGCCGTTTATCCATGATGGATAAATTTCATATTATCAAAGTGGTTTTACTGCAAAATACTGAATTAGTTCAAACTGCAAAAAAAGGTTCTGCAGAAAAAAAAACTATTTTAAAAAATCTACACTCTCAAAAAAAAAGATGGGTCTATATAGAACCATGAGCATTTATAGAACAATTTGCATGCTTAAAGGGTTAAAGGGTTCTTTGCATGGTGAAATGGTTTTTCAAATTGATGGAAAATGTGATCTTTTTGAAAATGGTTCTATATAGCACCAAAAAGGGTTCTACTGTTATAATATCAAGCTTGGAACAGTAGCAGAACCCTTTTTGGTGCTATTCTCCTGTCAATCAACCTTATCAACCTGTTCTCCATCAATCTGAAGAACTGTTTCACCATGCAAAGAACCGTTTAAGTCTGCACATGGTTCTTTGTGTTCATGGTTCTAGAACCATTGAACCACTCCTTGAAGAACCATCTTTTAGTGTAGTAGAAGTTTTCAGATCCTTAAAAAAATAAATAAATAAATTTGAAAGCGTTTTTGGAAATTTGATTTTTTTTGGAATTTTGGATGTTTTTCGGAATCTGGGTTTTTTTAAATTTATTTTATTTATTTATTTTTCAAATTTTGGATTTTTGTTTTTTTGTTACTGCACTGTGCTGAAGTTGGTATGTCCTCATTAGCCATGCTCTTCTTTTCCTCCTCTGTGTGTTTTCCAGGTAAAGAAGTTCGCCAAGTTCCTGGACCCCGATGCTCACGGCCGGATCAACTTCAAAGACTTCTGTCACGGCGTCTTCGCCATCAAAGGTAACAGCGCTTCACCTTCTGACACAGTGTTTAATCTGACCTGTTCTCAGTCCGTCAGAGGGTTCTGAGAATGCAGCCGCGCTGGTAAAGAAACCTGTGCATTTTAAACACAATATTAATGCAGAGAGAATTCCAGGAACCCCACACGGCACCGTCAGCGCGTCTCAGCTGGCGTTTGAGGATGTGAACGCTGGGAGATTCCAGCACTGACACATCAGGGTGAAGAAACCGGTCAGTTTCCTGAAAAGATGCTTTAAACTCAGCCTGAGCCTGGTGAGGGTCATCTGAGTTGCTGTGGCAACAGCCTCCAGCGGTACAAACTCTGGTTTAGAAAACGTTTTGTTGATTTTATTTCATGCAAATTGAAGGAAGATAAGGTTCCACACAGCTGATCATAACTGGACTGTGAAACATGTCGAGTGCTGTGATATTCAACACTAACTCCACATTAATGTACCAGAATTTGTCAGTCATGTCCACACGTTGCTCTGACTGACCCTACCAGACCATCAGCGAAGTTCCCAAACTAAAAACATGATCCGAGGGACTTTTTAATTTGAGATTTTTTTGGGGGTGGGGGGTTATGGAGGGTTTGGGGAAGATTTTGAGATTGTTGTGTTTTTTTTTGTGTTTTTTTACTTTTTTACTTTTTTTGTTTTTAATATTTTTTATTTTGAACATCATTTTGGCGGGGTGTTGGGATTTTTTTTAAAATTTGGGACTGTTGAAATTTCAGAATTAGTTTTTTTTTTAGAATCTTTATTTTTTGGAATTGCGGATGTTTTTTGGAATTAGTTTTGTTAGAATTTGAGTTGATTGTTTTTACTTTTGGACTGTTTTCTTAGAATACGGGGTTGTGACAGAGACTGACCCAAAGACCAGTGAAGTGTGGTTTGGAACACAGAGTATAAAAGTGTATTTCAGCTGGTTCGTCGTGCTGCAGCACTGGGAAATCCCTCTGATGAAGGAGGAGAGTTTTTACTCCTCGCTGATCTTAAAGGGTTAATGCAGCCGATTCAGAGCAGACAGAGGAAAATTACAGTGGGTTATTATTCTGGACTGTAGCGTTTATAGACAGGCAGATAACGATGTAGAGGTGCTCCTGCGGTGTGAGGGGTGTAATTAAGCCAGCAGAACGATTCCTCTACTGTGCAGACGGAACCCTGTGTGGGCTCAGGTGAGTGATCTGTGGCCCTATGAGAGCTTTATTAATGTTAATAATACTCATCTGTGTGCGGTGGGGGGGTGTTGGAGGGAGTGTTTATGGTTGATTCTTTTTATTTTGCCATTTGGGATTCATTTTTTGGAATTTGGAATGGTTTTAATGGAATTTGGAATGGTTTTAATGGACTTTGGAATGGTTTTAATGGAATTTGCTGTATTTTCTGCAGTTAGGGATTCTTTCTTTGGGCTGGGTTTGTGTGCTTTAAAACAGCAGCTCTGGAACTATAAGACTGTTTATTCACTCCAGATCGGCTATTAATTAAAGCAGTAATGATCAATCTGTTAATTAGTGGCTGTCAGTTTTATAATTGAGCTCAACACTGAGACTGTTTTCCTGATGTCAGCAGAGCATCAGCAGTTCAGGACTTAGTGTCTCTCTGTACAGCAGTGCTGCCCGGAGGACGTTTGATTTGGATCACCAGAAAGTGACCCAACACCCAATGAAAGAACAGACACATTATTATACAAAGCCAGTCCCAAAAAAGTTGGGTTTTTGATGTTTTACCTCATCAATTACATTTTTTTGTAAATATGTTATATAGACAAAAGTATAGGGACACCTACACATCACACCTACAGGAGCTTTTATCAGTCCCATTCTAAATCCACAGGCATTATTATGGTCTGCTCCAGAGTCCAGCGGCGGCGCTTTACACCACTCCATTGATGCTTAATGGAGAAATTTTGTAACAGTGGCCTCGTATTACAGCACCACGCTGGAACTCAGTGAGCTCTTTAGACCCGTTCTTTCACTGATGTGTGTGAAGGCAGGCTGCATGGCTGGGGGCTTCATTTTATACACCTGTGGAAATGAGACTGAATAAAACACCTGAATTCAGTGATTAAGAGGTGTGTCCCAATACTTGTGCCCATATAGTGTTTATGCTCATTCCAAATTAGATTTTCAGCAACACATTCTAAAAAAGCTGGGACAGGAGCTTGTTTACCTCTGTTATATCACATCACCTTTCCTTTAAAGGCACTTAATAATCGTTTGGGGATTGAAGATACAAACTGATCCAGTTTTTAATTTTTTGCCGTTTTTCTGTTATATAAGTCTTTAGCTGCACAGCCATACGGGACCTTCGTTCTTGTGTTTAGAGCTTAAAAAGACACGTGAGACATTTCTGGACTGCAGGCAGGTCAGTCGAGCACCTGCACGCTCTGATAACTCAGCCTTGCTGCTGTAACACATGCAGAATCTTTCTTGGTGTGTCGTGTTAAAATAATCATGGGCGTCCCTGAAAAAGACGCCGTCTAGAAGGCAGCATATGTAGCTCCAAAATGTTATCGGTGCTAATGGTATATGCAGGTTACCCACTAATACTATAATAATATTTCCATGAACAATCTGAAAGGTGGACTCAAAAGGCCACAACACACATTTCCACTGAACATCAGTCCATTTCAGATGAGCTCGAGCCCAGAGAAGTCGGCGGTGTTTCTGGACGTTGTTGATGTATGACTTCCTTAACTTGCATTTGTGGATGCAGTGATGAATGTTGTTTATTGACAACAGCTGCACAGCCATACGGGACCTTCCCGAGTGTTCCCGAGCCCATGTGTGATCACCATCACAGAAACAGGCTGGTTTTTAATGCAGTGCTGTCCGAGAGGTCAAAGTTCACAGGCATTCAGTTGTGGTTTTCTGCCTTTTACTGTACGCACAGAGATTTCTCCAGATTCTCTGAAAGTTTTGTTGATGTTATGCTGTATTATGAAATACATAACATCCTTCCCTTTCCCTGACTGAAGAATGTTGTTTTTAAAGTGTTGGGTTTTTTGCTGATGCATTTTTGGCCAGGTGGTCTCGACCCCTCCCCACCCTTCAAGGACTCGGCCTTTCCTGGAGGCTCCTTTTATATCCGAACATGACTGCATCACTTGTGTAAGATGTTTTTGAACATCTCAGTGTTCCTAGTCGTGAGTTGCTCCTGACCCGGCTATATTGGAAAGTGTCGCAGGCATCAGTTTCAGAATGAGCATAAAAAACCATTGAAGTTGACAAGATAAAACATTTGTTTAGAAACAAGTCAGAGCAGAGTGATTTATGAATCACTGCTTTCTGTGTTCATCTGCATTTTACCTTCCCAACGTTTTGGGAGTTAAGTTTGTATATAAGTAACTTCTATAGTTCTTTTGCCTTTTAAAATTGTATTTTGAAGTTATTTTGTAAGAATGTAATGTAATGTTATTAAATACATCTTTATATTTGTAATTTGAAACCCACTTTTTTTAATCATGTCGCTGTCATTGACCTTTTTTGCATATTTTGAAAATGCAGGCTGCTGTTTACACTGTGTCAACATTGGACCAACAGAAATGATCCGAACTGATTTGATCCATTCCGATACGTTAACCTGCATAAAAACGCTGATGATGTTTTTTGGAAATATGAGTTTTGTTCCAACACAATGATTTTCTGCTTTGTCTTTTTAGCCCACCAGAAACTGTTTGGGCCCCCTGACCTGAACATTAAACACACTGCGAATGTTTGATTTTTTGCAATTAAGGTTTTTGTTTTTTATTTTGAAATTTGGGATTTCTTTCTTTTTTTTTAATTTGGGATGTTTTTATTTTGTAATTTGAAGAATTGTTTTTTTTTCAGAATTTTTGGAATGTGGGATGTTTTTCAAGTTTGTAGCTGTTTTTGTTGGTAAGCTGTGGTTTTGAAGGGACTAAAGATGTTGGAGAGGAAGATCAGGAGGAGCTGGACAAGGGGCACTGAGCTCAGAGAGTGCGCTGTGTTTGGAGCTACAGCTCTGCTGCTCTCAATGTTTTATTAATTTATACCGTTTTATACACACTCACACACACACACACACACACACACACACACACACACACACACCACACACTTACACACACACACACACACACACACACACACACCACACACACACACACACCACACACTTACACACACACACACACACACACACACACACCACACACTTACACACACACACACACACACACACACCACACACTTACACACACACTCACACACACACACACACACACACACACACACACACCACACACTTACACACACACACCACACACACCACACACACTCACTCACTCACACACACACACACACACACACACACCACACACATACACACACACCACACACTTACACACACACCACACACTTACACACCACACACACCACACACACCACACACACACACACACACACACACACACACACTCACACACACACACACACACACACACCACACACACCACACACACCACACACACACCACACACTTACACACACACACACACACACACACACACACACCACACACTACACACACACACACACACACACACACACACACACACACACACACACACGCACACACACGCACACGCACACACACAAACACACAAACATTCTCACACACACTTACACACACACACACCACACACACTTACACACTCACACTTACACACACACTCACACAGACACTCACTCTCTGCTGTTTCTATAAATGGATTTAAGTGGGTTTTCTTGTTTTGTGTGTGTGTGTGTCTGTGTGTGTGTGTGTGAGTGTGTGTGAGTGAGTGTGTGAGTGTGTGTGTGTGTGTGTGTGTGTGTGTGTGTGTGTGTGTGTGTGTGTGTGTGAGTGTGTGTGTGTGTGATAAGAACAGCCATCTTAAGAGTGTTTGGTCTCTACAGCTGAGATCTGATCTGATGTGAAAGATTTAGATGTCACCGTCTTCATCTCTCTCTGCTCTAATCTCTCCTTCAGAGTGGAGGGGCTTAGTTATTTTAGCCAGGCAGACACAGGAATAGGAATCTGCTGCACATGTTTTTCGTGATGCGCGATGTGTCACAATATCTGTTTTTCTGACATCTGTTAAGTTAGAACCACATTTTACCATAAATAAGCAGAAAATACCGTAAAAACTATCAGTTTGGTTACTTGGATCTGACGACATCCATTAATGCACATTGTGAAGACTAACATCACATTAACGATAAATATTGTCGTACTGCGCAGCTCTGATTGACACTTCAGTGTGTTGTACTGTTTCTCTGAGCCGGTGCTCATCAGCGCTCGGACCGGTCAAGCGTTTAAAGCACGTTTAGACTTAAAAGAGTTTCAGTGTGAGCTTTTAACAGCAGTTTACAATAGAAAACTGTCATTATTTAAACTGACGCTGCTCCGCTTTACAACCACTAAACATTCACAGTAAAGAAAATGGTTCTATACAGAACCATGAACACTCAAAGAACCCTTTGCACGATTAAATGGTTCTTCAGATTGATAGTGAATGTGCTGAAGATGGTTCTAATATAGATTTTTTTGGTTCTACATGGCACCACTACATGCTCTGAAAACATCAGATCTGAGTTATATTAGGGCAAAAAATCAGACTTGTGTCCTTCAACCTGGTACTGAGAACACAGCCTGAAGGGGAGAGAGAAACCGGAAGAGCAGAGCCGCTTTAATTAATGCAGTTTATTCATTTGAGATACTTTTCTAAAACAGCCAAACGACAGACCCTGCTCAAAGTTTGACCCCCTGCTGGAGCACTTTCCCCTCATTTACCAGAATCTGCCCAATCTGGCAACTCTGTGTGTAACTCTGCCTGTTGTGTGTTTCAGGCTGTGAGGAGATCCTGAAGACCGCCCTGGGAGCGCCCCCCATCGACAGACCACCGTATCAGACGGATAACGGCTACTACTACCAGGTGAGGAGTTCCGCCAGAGCTTCTGCTGGTTCCTTCACCGTCCTCTTCAGAGAACCGAGCTGCTGCGGCCCGTCAGGCGGAAACGCTGCTGTGGTTCTGTGTTTGTGTTTGCTGACCGCTGTGAGGTGGGTCAGCATCAGTGGAGCCCCCCGCAGGTCAGAGAGGAGAACAGGTTTACGGTCATTGTCAGGACCTGACTGGTATACGCTCTTAAAAAAAAGATGGTTCTTTAGGGGTTCTTTAGTAAAGGCTATGGTTCTGTTTTGGTCTATGAGTTTATGAGACTTTATAGAATCATTTGCACGGATCTTCAGGTTGATGGAGAATGTGTAGTATATGGTTCTGTGTAGCATATTTTTGAACATGGTTCTACACTCTTCAGAAAGATGGTTCTTCAGTAAAGAAAATGGCTCTGTATAGAACTAAGAACACTCAAAGAACACTTTGCATAATTAAGGTTCTTTGCTTCATGAAAGGGTTCTTCACGTTTAATGGAGAATGTGTTGTGTATGGTTCTATGTAGCACCTTTTTAAACATGGTTCTACACTCTTCAAAAAGATGGTTCTTCAAGCATTCTTTAGTAAAGAAAATGGTTCCATGGAGAACTATGAACACTCAAATAACCCTTTGCATGATATAATCATTCTTTACATCATCAAGCGTTCTTCAGACTGATGGAGAATGTTTAGTATAGGGTTCTATATAGAACCTTTTTGAACATGGTTCTATATAGAACGTTTTGTTTGGTTTATTGCAGAAGCTGTTACTGTTCTTACTGCTGAGCTGCTTCTCAGAACGGCAGTAATGCAGTGCTGCTCCATCACCACTGGGTGGCAGCATTTAAACAGAAATGTTTAATGGTGATGCACTGAGAACATCATACAGAGCAAACTGAACAGAGCCCGTCTGATTGGTCCACCTTAAACTCTCACGCTAAAGCAAACTGAACAGAGCCCGTCTGATTGGTCCACCTTAAACTCTCACGCTGAAGCAAACTGAGCAGAGCCCGTCTGATTGGTCCACCTTAAACTCTCACGCTAAAGCAAACTGAACAGAGCCCGTCTGATTGGTCCACCTTAAACTCTCACGCTAAAGCAAACTGAACAGAGCCCGTCTGATTGGTCCACCTTAAACTCTCACGCTAAAGCAAACTGAACAGAGCCCGTCTGATTGGTCCACCTTAAACTCTCATGCTAAAGCAGACTGAACAGAGCTCGTCTGATTGGTCCACCTTAAACTCTCACGCTAAAGCAAACTGAACAGAGCTCGTCTGATTGGTCCACCTTAAACTCTCACGCTAAAGCAAACTGAACAGAGCCCGTCTGATTGGTCCACCTTAAACTCTCACGCTAAAGCAGACTGAACAGAGCCCGTCTGATTGGTCCACCTTAAACTCTCACGCTAAAGCAGACTGAACAGAGCCCGTCTGATTGGCTTAATTTCTCATCCTTTAAGGCAAACTCGTTTATTAAGGGTGTTATTAAGGGTGTTATTAAGGGTGTTATTAAGGGTATTAAAGGTGATCACTCTCTTCAGCGCCTCTCATTTGCTGTCTGTCACAGAAGCCGCTGTCAGTGATCTGAACTGAGCCTGAATGTAGCAGCTGCACCATTTAAGGTGGATCAGAAAATTCAAATAAGTAGCCACTTTCAGCCTCATGGATCTTTCTCTTATTCTTTCTTTCTCTTATTCTTTTTCTTATTCTTTCTTCCTTTCTCTTTCTCTTATTCTTTCTTTCTTTTATTCTTTTTCTTATTCTTTCTTCCTTTCTCTTTCTCTTATTCTTTCTTTCTTTTATTCTTTTTCTTATTCTTTCTCCTTTCTCTTTCTCTTATTCTTTCTTCTTTTATTCTTTTTCTTATTCTTTCTTCCTTTTTCTTTCTCTTATTCTTTCTTTCTCTTATTCTTTTTCTTATTCTTTCTTCCTTTCTCTTTCTCTTATTCTTTCTTTCTTTTATTCTTTTTCTTATTCTTTCTTTCTCTAATTCTTTCTTTCACTCTTTTTCTTTTTATTCTTTCTTTCACTCTTTTATTCTTTTTATTCTTTCTTTCTTTCTCTTATTTTTTATTCTTTCTTTCACTCTTTTATTCTTTTTATTCTTTCTTTCTTTCTCTATTTTTTATTCTTTCTTTCTTTCTTTCTCTTATTTTTTTCTTTCATTCTTTCTTTCATTCGTTTATCATTCTTCTTTTTCTTTCTCTCGTTCTTTCTTTCATTCTTTTTTTCTTTCTTTTTTCTTTTTCTTTCTTTCTTTTCTTTTTCTTTCTTTTTTCTTTTTCTTTTTCTCCTTTTCTTTCTTTCATTCTTTTCAAATTTCTGTATTCTCTCTGTCTTCCTCTATATTTCTTTTTCTCTCTCTGTTAAAACTTTCAGTCAGGGTCAGTAGTGAGTGTGGAGTAGAGCCCCTAGATCTGCTGAACTAAATGAGTGAATGAACAAATGATGGATGGATGGATGGATGGATGGATGAATGAATGGATGGATGAATGAATGGATGCGTGGATGGATGGATGAATGAATGGATGGGTGGAAGGATGCGGGTTCATCACTCCATCCAGTATCTGCCACGTTTGTGTGTTTTATATTCATAACCGCGGTGTGTGATATCAGTTAATCACAGATATAAAATGAGCAGGATTAATGATTCGGCTGCTTTATGAGGCGTAAACTGTGCAGATTAAAGCAGCTGTTAAACCCAACTGAACAGATTAACTAACAGTTCTCATCATTCAGATCAATATGATATAAAAACTCTGTTAAACTCTTAATTAAAGTCTTTATGATCTGTGTTTATCACTGAGGGTCTCGCTCAGATGTGCAGCGTCACTCTGATTTCTGTATGTGGGCGTCGTCTGTCAGTTTGGAGACACTGAGAAATGCTGTTTAATATGAAATCACCATATTAAAGCGTGATCAGGTTTATTTGGACGAAGTAAAACCATGCTTGTTCAGGCTTATTACACACTAAGGCTTATTATTCAGTAAGTACAGGGGCTTCAAATCAAACTGGCTATTCTTGGGTTATTGAAGTGTGTAATAAAGCTTTGGGCCTGCCGACAGGCTCTGGCCTTGTAAAGGGTTAAGCTTTTGGAACATTGCTGTGAGGACTTGATTGCATTCAGCCACAGGAGCATTAGTGAGGTCAGGTTAAAGTTAATTGAAAACAAAAAGAGCACAATGAAATAAACGCTCTATTCGGTAACAGAGTATAAAAGAATTGAGTTAAGTTTGCTTTTAAAAGAAGACTTTTTTTTTTTATTTAACTGAGTAACAAAAATGAAAAATATTGAAAATTTCACAGGAGGGCGCCACGCTGTCCTCAGCACGGTGTGTATCTGCACACCTCTGAGCTCATTCAGCATGTGTGTGTGTGTGTGTGTGTGTGTGTGTGTGTGTGTGTGTGTGTGTGTGCTAAAGCTGATCACGTTTAATCAGTGTGTGTCATCTCCTCTGCACTGGACCTGATTGAGAACAGTTCACAGTGTAATAGGATAAGACAGAGGCTTAGATCAGCATCTTTACCGCTGCCCTCATTAACCCGCACATACAGGACAGGACAGACCGCTCTAATACTGACCACACGGACCATTCAGGGTTTATCTTACCATTCAGACTCAGGCTGACCTCACCTGGACACACCTCCCCTGGACACAGGTGGAGTGGACAGTCACATTGAGGGGTGCCACAATGCCAGGATGTTGACTTTGATACCAATACTGAGTGTAGTATCATAATACTGGGTGGAGCTACAAGGGGGCAGTTTCTGATAAAGTGGCCAGTGGGAGGAGCTAAAAGAGAGGTTTCTAATAAAGTCAGTGAAGGTAGAGGGTGTACAATGTGTGTATCAGGCATTGCAGGGTTTATACACAGAGAGAGAGAGAGACAGAGAGAGAGAAGTGAGTGGTAGAGATAGAGGGATGTGTTTGGGTTCTATTTTCTATCCCTCTTTTATCTCAGTGTAATGAGACTGAAGTAAATGCGGCTGAGCTTTTACTGAGAGAGCGAATGATCTGTGTCTGAGCTAAACTGGGAGAAAATACTGAGCGTCCTTCAGTGACATTCAGAGAGAGAGAGAGAGAGAGAGAGGAGAGTGAGGAACAAGGAAAGTGAAGAGAGAGAGAGAAAAAAGGAAGAGGGGATAGTGAGAAGAGAGAGAGGGAAAAGGAAGGAGGGAGAGAAAGGAAAGATGAGACAGGAGAGAAAAGGGAGAGAGAGGGAGAGAAAAGAAAGAAGAGAGAGGAGATAGAGGAAAGAAAGACAATAGGGAGGGGAGAGGAGAGAGAAGAGTGACAAGAAAGGTCAAAGAAGAAAGATAGAGAAGAAAGAAGAGAAAGGGAGGAGAAAAGAAAGAAGAGAGTAAGAAAGAGAAGAAACAGAATAAAGATAAGAGAGCTGGAGGACTGTGTGTGTGTGTGTGTGTGTGTGTGTGTGTGTGTGTGTGTGTGTGTGTGTGTGTGTGTGTTGATGGACAAAGCAGTAAACTGCATCAGACAAACACACACACCATCACACTCCATCTCTCTCTCTGTCTCCCTCTCTCTCTCTCTGTCTCTCTCTGTCTCCCTCCCTCTCTCTCTCTCTCTCTCTCTCTCTCTCTCTCTGTCTCTCTCTCTGTCTCTCTCACTCTGTCTCTCTCTCTGTCTCTGTCTCTCTCTCTGTCTCTCTCACTCTGTCTCTCTCTCTGTCTCTGTCTCTCTCTCTGTCTCTCTCACTCTGTCTCCCCCTCTCTCTCTCAGTGGTGTCCCTCTCTGTCTCTCTCTGTAGCTCCATCTCTCTCTCAGCTCACTCAGCTCTGAGGTCCTCACTGCCGTTAAAGGGCTCATACCCTGAAAACTGACCCGTCCTCTCTGCCTTTGAGTAGCTCAGCTATGTATAGTATGTGAACACTGTTAAAGCATGTCGTTCCCCAGCAACACCCCCAGGTCCCTACAGTCCATACAGTCCAACTGAACAGCCCGTTTAGAATTCACTATTATTGTGAAAGTGGAAAAAAAAGAA